AAAAATATTCGTAAACAAGATCCTCTGGGGCCTAATGAAATAAGGGGAAATATAGAATGTTCAAGGGGCCTACCTAGTCTTTAAGTGCTCTCAGCAGCTGGGAGGATGGTGTGGGTCAGGACCAAAAATCTCTTTGTGGATCTGTGCTTCTCTGGAACATGAAAGACTGATGAAAGATCACGGTTCAGGATTTTGGGTTTTGCGGTGTAGGTTTTTTTTTTTTTTTTTTTTNNGGGGGGGGTGTAGGGCTTAGGGTTTAAGGTTTTGGGGATTAGGTCTAAGGTTTTGGGGTTTAGGATTTAGGGATTTTGGGGTTTAGGGTTTAAGGTTGTGGAGTTTAGGGTTTAGGGGTTTTGGGCTTTGGGATGTTATAAACGACTTTGTTCTGTAACGGCATAGCTCCAGACTGCTCGAGCTTGAGCACGAAGTGGGTGCCTGACCCCTCGCAAAACGATGTGGCTTTTTATTCATGGGACCTAACTGCACCCCATATTAGCCGTTTGTGTGGGACTCTGGGATAAGCTTCCATCCTCACCGATTTGCGTGATACGGTCGTTAAACCCCTGTATGGCGGCGGCAAAACCCTTGGATAGCTACACTATCCTATACACATTCGACAAACGCTCCAGCTGCTGCAATTCCGGGCATTCCGACATGACTACCTGATGCTAACTGCAGAAAAAACCTCCATACTTCCTAGGGGAGGGCGTCTGCAAGGTCGTGCAAGTGTGATACTATCTAGTCCCTTAAGCCCTAAACTCGAAACCGAAGCCCTAACGTAGGGGCCTTAATAGTTAGAATAGGGCTTTGGGGGTTCCTTATTGTAATTATAGTGTAAACCCTATTCTAATTACGAAGGCCCCTATATTTTAAGCCCTCAGGAAAACTCAGGCCCCAGCGATCTCCACGGGCGTCATCTTTGGTGCAGCCACTGCAAGCCGCTCCGCCTCAGTTGGATTCGGTTGGGTCGGAGCTGCACCCCGAAATCCTGAAAGCTACACACCGAAGTCGCAAAACTCCAACCCTGCAACCCTGAAATTTAAGGTCTAGTTCGGGTTGCTAAGGCTTATAGCCTGTAGGGTTGATAAGTTTAATCAATAGGTTTAACAGCCCTCAAGCCCCTAACTCCTGAACCCTCATGTCCTGCCCTGAGGGCCTTAAAATCCTGTCGTAGGAACACCCGAAACCCTAAAGGAACCCAAAAGGCCTCGGATTCAAGGCGGGTCAGCCTGCCGGGGTTTAGGGGGGTTTAGGGTTTAGAAATGTTTCGGGTGTAATTCGAGGGGGTTTGGGGGGGTTCAGGCTCAGGGTGAGGATAGGCTAAATTTTTAAAGGCTGAAGGCTTGCGGTCAGGAGTTAAACAATTCAGGGAAGACCGCTAAAAATCCAACACCGGAAATTGGTTCAGCACACGTTCGAGTCAAAGCGCTTCATCAGGAAGCTAGCCCAGGGCATGCACCCTGGGTAAGTGCCCTAGATACTAAACCCCAAACCCAACAGAATCTAACACATGTTCGCCAGCCGAATGGGCGTAGACTCCTGCGACGCTTGCCCTTAATCCCCGTCGCCGCTGTGATATGGCACAATTGGTTCTAGCAGGGCGAATGATGATGACCCTAGCCGTCTCTAGCGCTAGACCATCGAAGTGCAGATGCAGACAAAAGCAGTCACAGGTTTGTTTTCACGGTCAGGGGGCTTCCCGAAAAGGGTGCTTTCAGTATGCAGCGAGGCAACTAGTAACTAGAACTAGCATCGGGAATCACAAGGAAGATTGACGTTTCTGAGTTCTTCCCAGCACCGGAACAAGCAAGTCCTGATGAATCGAATCATGCTCGGGTTTAGGGGCTAATGTACGGCCCTTATACCTAGAATAGGGTTTTGGAATGGTTTTGGTGTCCATTATACTATTAGTATAATATGGGGACCCAAAATAGTATTGGTAATTATTTAGGCCCCTTGTTTTTACTTCGAAACTAGACTTGCGACCGTAACCGCTAAAGACATAATTCTAACTCCCTCGGCAACCAAAAAAAGTACCACCAAAGGCTCTATAGGGGCCTTACTATTCAGATAGGGTTTTGGCTTTCTGGTATGTTGTAGTAGTAATACCACGGGAAGAGCCCTCCGAAAGAGTGTTGCCAATTCGTTAGGCCATGTTACGCCTGGCATGCCCCAGTCGATCTTCTTTCTTCTCCTTAACTCCTTCAAAAAAATGGGCCCAAAGCTGCCCAAACCTGGGAGGGCCGGCTGCCTGGTGGAAAAATCCGGCACCGATACCTGCGAATGGTCGAATGTGCCGAGGACTTAGCACACAGGGTTCAGGGGTTTAGGGTTTAGGGTTTGAAGGATGGTTGTGGACGTCTGTGTGGATTACTGAAGGGATCAATCGAATTTCCGGCGGGGCTGGGTACAATACTTGGCGCTTAGCTCTCTGGGTCGCATGTAGTTCCAGAGGATTTCTGCTACAGCTTCACAGGGTGTACTCGTACTAGCGTCGGGATAAGTACTATACTGTTTCCCTCTAGCCCCTAGTATAAGTATAGTAGAATATCACCGTGAAAACCCTATACCAAGTATGAAGAGCCCTTTATTTGGCAGGCTTCTGGCAACTTTAGGATCTCCTGATCAACATCGTGGAATCTGTCGCAGGGCTTGAACCGAACGAGAGATCCTGAGTGAAGAGCTTTTGGGTTGAGTATAGGTTATAGGGACCTTATTGGTGAGAACAAGGCTGCTTGTGATATTCTGATCTGATTATATAGGGACTATCGTGGGATGCGGTTACAGCTCATTCCGAGCCCTATATATGGGTTTGGGCTGTTGGGGCCCCTGATTGAAAATTTCTGGCTGCGTTTACCTCGGGATTCCGCACTCCGCGCCCTCACTGCTTCCGGACCCCCCTCCATGAGAACCCAGACCTCCCACCACTTGTGGCATACAAACGTGCCGACAGTGCCGGATGCTCGGCAGCGAAGTCTTGCAGCAGCCCACAGACTGTTGGCCTCAGGTTGCAGGGATCATGGCATGCCACCGGCTGCATGAAGCCACTGGGCATTTAGCTCTGCATTCTCAAGGCTTACATAGAAGTGCAGGGCGCAAGCAATGAATACAGCTCCTGTTTGGAGTTGCGTTGGGGAGCCGACCCACACTTCCTAAGACTCCGTTGCATTCGTTCCGGGAAGCACTTGCATCCACAAATTCCAGCATACCAGTCGCTCTGAAATTGTGACGTCCTAGTCCCCAGCCCAAACCTAAGCCATACTGACCACCTGTAGTCGGAAGGAAACCCCAACACATATTTATTTTCTTGACTATAAGTAGCAATGACACGACCTCACCACCGCCCAAGCAGTCAAGAAACATTTAATTATCCTACCGGAATTTCTTGCAGGATATACCCAAATTGCGATAAGGTAATTCAGCCCCTGCAGCGGAACAAACAAGGGGAGACGAAGCCACTGCCACTGCAGTGATTCAGAAAGAACATGTAGCACATGACCAAACTAGCATTCCAACCTACGAAATGTGGATTGAAGACGGAGTCAGGTTGCACTCATGCAATGGCTTCCCGCTGTGCTGTCAACCGGTTGACCAGAGTCCTTGGACAGCGCGCTCCTGGCCAACTGAGTTTCTTCTCGCCCCCGAGGACGACGTACTCGTTTTCTCTGATAGTCAGGCAGCAAAGCAAAAGCGACTTTTGTGGTCTATACCACGCGATCTCGCAGTATCTTCGTCGAGGTTCGCATCTACACCCTGATAGCTTGACTCTTGGTAACCCCCTAGTTCATATGTAAGACCGAGATTAATCCAACCCCAAGATAGACTCCAAGGCCCCTCGATCAGACCGCGAAGAACAGTTCATGTAGGGCCTTGTTTAATTAGAACAGGGTTTTGGGGTATGGTATACCATATTTATAATAAGGAACCCCCAAAAGAGTATAGGTAATTATTAAGGCCCCTATACTTCCTGAACCCTGGAGAACCTTTCTTCTGAGGTTCCTGGATCTCCTGGCATAAGTCCTTAAAGCGTGGTAGGGTTTTGTGGTTAAGGTAGACCCTAAACTAAGCCGCAGCCACTGGCATTCTGTCAAACATCAGGCGCGGGCCAAGTTGCGCGGCCAGAAATTGGAGATCTCCTGCCTGATTGTTGGCTTGCATTGTGTAAGGTTTTCGGTTCAGGGTTTCTGGGTTCAGGGTGTACGGAGTATAAGGGTTCTGTAGGGTGCTGCGGCGCAGAAAAGTGTTCAGTCTTCGTTCAATGGTCTGGAAGGTGTTCTGTTTGGGATTTACGGTAGAGCTTCCACTCTTCCTTCCAAAGTCCCAGAGTTGTGAGTTCGAAGAAACGAAACTGCGTCAGGCTATGCAGAACCTTGTGGCTATGGCTTTGTTCGGGCGTGACCTGACTGCTCCTCACACATTTACCGCTATTCTTACTGGAGAGCACAGGAGCGCATGGAGTGCAAGGGCAACAGGATGGGGAAGGCCAGGGTGTCCAGTTCCCTCCCCTGCTCAACACGAGGCAGTTCCAGGAAACAAAGGAGCTTAGCAACAGATTGCAGCCTTGGTTACTTGCTGAAGCTGAAGGCTGCGATTCGATATGCGGGATTTCATACAGTGAGGGTTTCGGCCTCAGCGATAAATAAGCCTCACGATAAACCATTTTTTCGGAGACACCTTACCGACGACAGCGTTGCCGGATCGTGGCCAAGCACTCTGAGAGAATTTTGCTGCTACCAGCAAGCTTTGACATTCGCTTCAAACTGAAAGTGTCTGAAACTACCCTAGGACCTGAAGCCTAAATCCCCCCAACCCAACCGAATCTTTGTTCGTCAACTCTGGTTGTTGCCCTCTTGCGGATGCATTTTGGATTTTAGCTCCTAGAACTGTGATTGAACATGGCGCCTTGCTTGGAACATCCCCTGCATTCACTTCATTTCCCGTACCGGAATCGAGGGTGCGGGGTTGGTGGCTGAAGCTGGGACCGAGGCTCTGCTGCTTTGAACAGAAGCACTTTGAAATCTTTGCCTGCAAGACGGGCTTGTGCGACGGAAGGCAGGTTGCGCGATGGTCGGGAATGTTATTCCCTTTTGGGCAAGATCTTGGTCTTGTTCCGAGATGTCGACTGTACTGGAACGTCTGTGTACACTGGAAAGTTGTTGACAGCGATGCTAGCACACTGGTCTTGTGGTTGTTGCCGGGTACTCAAGATCACGGTAGCCACAACAACCTGGAACACACACACACACACACACTCTCACACACACACACACAAACCCTAAACCCTAAACCTAAACCTAAACCCTAAATGCAGAAAACCTTCGCACCATTGTTGAAACCCTACATATACCCATCAGTCCGTCTGTCACCGAGGCTGTCCAGCGGTCCAAAGCCGAACCCTCTAGAAGATGCAAGGGTCGTCGTCGCGACATCTGAGAAGGACGAGACGAGGCCAGTGACAACGGCTCCATGAACCCTGAATGATACCCATGTGGCAAGAGCTCGAACAGCCGCCTAACAAAGTACACAGCGCCCTACCTACACAAACCCCCAAACCTAAACCCTAAACCCTGGCTCCTTCTTCGAAGACATCCCACCAATGGAGCTCCCTATCCTTACCTCACTCTCGTCGGCGCGCTTGCTGGTTGGGATCTCCAAGCCTTATCACGAAGCGCACCCTCTGGGTCCCTCAAGAAGATTTATAGAGCAACCAACCTTAAACCCTGAACCCTGCACCCTAAACCACCATGCGACAAGACCCGACCTGGTTTCACCCGGAGCTTTGCCAGGGACCAGATGACATTGGCCTGGGGGTTTTCGATTTTTATCTTGAGCCCTCCTTTTCCATCCGGCTGGGAGTCTGAATGTGGTTTTTTGCGGCTTCGGCATGATATTGGCCTTGCCAGGTTTCGACTCTGACTCTCAAGTGCCAGTCCTAAGGTTTCGACTCTCACTAGGGCTTATAGGTCGCCTATGACGTACCCCAGAAAACAGGGCGATGAACTTTTTGGCCTCTGACGTACGTCAGCCCATACCCAGGTCCATGATGTAAGACGCCAGGTATGTATCATTACTGTCTCCGAGTAAGCTAAGTAACTCTGTTCAAGAAGCTCTCCCGATTCATATTGCAGTGTCGACTGTGGATACGAAGATGTCCAAGTACAGCGTCCCGACACTGCATTTCGTCTTGCTCTTCGATTCCGATTGGGGTTTACAACGTACTATGCCATCGACTGAGACAAAGGCGAAGAGGCACAGTCTCAGAAGTTATTGCGGATCCTGGCTTAGGGTTTAGAATCTTAGGGTTCTACACCAAAAGTTCTGACTTCTGACTTCTTATAATATAAACCCTAAACCCTAAACCCTAAACTCAACAAGGTCGAGTTAAAGAGCTTCGGAGCCTCTCGGTCTTCCCAATAACAAGCAGAAGAAGGTAGGGGCCTTAATGATTGAAATGGGCCTGGGGGTACATTTATGCCATGATTTTCATAGGGACCATAAGGGTACTATAGATCTTGCTGATTATCTCGGTCCCTTATAAATTACGCCATTCCTCATGGCGACATGTTCCGAAAGCTCACTTGGGGGGCAGGCACAGCACTGTGCACTGAAAGGTTCTGCGAGAAGTTCCTCCACAAGCAAGCGGGTGGGATGGCCTTGAGACGTCGGATTTCAGGATCTGGTTTAGTGTATGGACTTCCATGTGGGTAGTTGTCAAAATTATGGTCCCTTTTGGGGTACCCTAAATAATAGGTGCCGTATCATAATAAGGATCCAAAAAGGGGTGGTGATTCCGAGGCCGGATTTTCCTGTTTGCGTGCCAAGAAGTCAGCTCTCAGCCTTCAAGGCCTCACTTGGGAGTTTCCGAAAATAAGGGGCACCTTCTTTTAGGGTTCTTATGATAAGGATGCTACTATTTGGGGTACTATATTAGGCCCCCCTATTTTCGGAAGCCCCCACTTGTGACCCCTCCAGAATTCGAATGTCAAAGCGGCGAAACGTCGAAACCTGGCTCTCCCAACAAGTTTATCAACCGGAAAGAACCCCGAAGCCAGGAAGACCTACAAGTACAAGTCAGATTGCGGAGTTTGGGAACGCTTGTGCTGCCTTACTTGGGCAGGGGATTGTTTTCAAAATAATCTTAACAACACAGTCCGCCCCAAAATCCAAGGCCTCTTCCGCTGCAGCACCTGCCACTACTGGCTCCTATCACGACCTTAAAAGCCTTACCCAAGCATACCTTAACCCGAAACTCTTTCACGGCAAAGCACCAATCGCACCCCGTCCTCTGTGCGACGCAGCAAAGACCGAAAGCCTTCGTCTGCCCAGAGCCCAGTCTTTGAGGCCTGGAGCCACCGGGTACAGTTGTGCGGTTTAGGGTTTAGGGGTCAATTCATGTTTGTTGTCCTTATTCCTGATTTCAAGTTGTAGTCCATAGTTGTTCAAGCTGCTGTGTAAATTCGTTTTGCCTCAAAAACTGAGTTTTGAAGTAGGCTGAGCCAGTATTCTACCTATTGGTCTTAAGTTTTTAATACGTATTCTCTTGTTCAGAGGACATGCCGAAGTGGAAGGGGGCGACAGTCAACATCACAAGAAACTGAGAAACCTTTATAGAACATGGGCTCGAAAGTCCATACCACAGAACATATGAGACCAGACTTGCGTTCACGAAGCGCTATCATGGTTTAGGTCATACTGTTGAAGGCATTCTGACAGAAACCCCAAACCCTCAACCCCCAGACCCTAAACCATAAACCCTACACCCTAAACCCTAAACCCCTAAACCCCTAAACCCTAAACCCTAAACCCTCCACCCCCGGAAGCTGAACCCTGGGACTTGTTGCGCTGTCGGGGCGGGGCTCGGCAAATCGAACTTTAAACTTCCTGGGCGCTGGCAAAATTCGACTCGACTTTGTCTCCAGGGTTTAGGGGTTTATTTAGGGTTTAGGGGTTTAGGGTTTAGCTTCAGTTGCTTTGGGGGGCCGATCGTCATGTGATAACGCATGTATCAAACAAAGGGATCGAGTTTTTGTACTTTGGGCCTCGTGTAACTCAACATATTCTGGTTGGGTTTAGGGTTTAGGGTTTTGCAGTTCAAATCGGATCCCAAATGGAAATCGCAGCCCAAATCTGACCCAAACTTCGGTGGACGGTCTTCCTGGAAATTCGATCGCGCACGGCCGGAACGAGCCTAGTTTTTGGGTTTAGGGTTTAGGGTTTAGGGTTTGGGTCAGCAAGAAACTACGAGTAGCATCACTTCATGTCTGAAATCCGTGGTCAAAACCTGTTCTGACTAAGCGTCAATCTTTCCCACCCGTCTTGCCTGGTGTCTTGCTGTGCTGCGGGCGAGGGTAACAAAGGCAGCGCCTCGGAAGCCGGGTTTACACTTGGATTTTCTTTCTGAAAAAAAGCTTAAGGGCTTCAGGGCTTAGGTGTTGGCTACTTGGGATCTTCTTAAGAACGGGCTTTTCGCCTCCCACCTGGTGGCGACGGTTTGGCTACTTGGGATCTGCTCAATGTCAAACCCTACACATACCCGAACTCGACAGTTTCAGCCTCGAAAGCATGCCTACCACCCTCCGAAGCTGTGAGAATATCTGAGCCCACGTACCCCCGACGAGGTTGGACACCCAACTCTCGGCCCCAGGAGGAAAATAAGGTAAGCCAGGGCGTTGATAGGATGTTTGTCTTGCAATATTATAAGTTTGGGGGTTCAATCCCTTACAGCGGAGGGATTCCGAATTTAGGATGAGAGTTTTGTAGGGGCTGTGCGCATCCGGGAAATCATCGAGGCTGCTCGATGTGCTTGGTCTTCCCACGTAGATAAAATGGCCACGATGCACTGCGCGAAGCAGGTCTTAATCCGTTTCAGTAGCGAGTCGGAAATTCCATCCGCAGATTTACAAGTTAGCACGGCAAAGAATGCAAGCCCTAAATTCGAAACCCTGATTCAAGCCACTTAGATTCACCCTTGAACCCTCCTAAGAGGCAACCCCACCCTTTCATGCAGATGCGGGATTAGGGATTCAAATCTTCAACCTCCAAGATCCGTAGAGCTGAAAACCGATAACTCAGATGTGACTTCCCTCGCAGACAGAGCCCTTAGCTATCAAGATCTTCACTACATTCAATAGCACGCGTTTTGCAACCAAGAAGCCCCAATCCTGCAATTTCGAGCACGGTCCCACATCTGGTGCTCGTGTCCAAAGTCAACCAGGTAAGACCCGGAACTGTAGAATCCTCTTTGCCCAGACCCCTAAGCTGAAGCACCCCTCATGTTAAGCAGCACCCTGGCAGCAGGTAAAATAGGAACCTGAGGAAGGGAAACCTGGTGTTATTGTTCATTAGGGTTCTTTATATGCGCCCTATAAGTCATATTTTGGGGTTATAGGGTCAGGGGTTTTTAATTCCAGTTTCTTTCCAGTGGGCTTCTCCAACCTACAGGCTTGTCTGAGGCCCTGCGCTGACATGGATGGGATTGAGCTCCGACCTTGGCATTCTGCGGGGCATCGGGTAGGGAAGGACGAAAGAGTTTAGGGTTTGTAGGGTTTGGGGTTGGGGTTTATAAGGTTTAGAGTTTAGGGTTTAGTAATTCGAGTTTGGGCCAAAGGATCTAGGGTTTTGCGTTATAGCAAAGCCTTCGAATGCACAACCCGCTCCACAGGCTCTGACCCTACATCCAGCGTCTAAGAAACCGCTAAACTGTGCTGATCCGAAAGCCTATCCTGCTTGCAAATCCAATTAGGGTTTATAACCCCTAAACCCCCAAAAAACAAGCTCAATTGCAGAGTGTCTCTTCGAAGCAGACAGGTGCGCCCCTCTCCTGTGACCTCTGAGCTCGGGATGTCTTGGGGTGGGCATATGGTTTAGGAGTTTGGGGTGGTTCTGAAGCCATGGCATTACTCCTCTTGGGCACCTGGCGCATGCTCGCGCACGATAGCCAGCGCCTCCTGCAACGTGACAAAAACATAGACTTTTCCCACGGATATTGCGCTAGACTTTGGAGGCGTCAAGCCATTTTGAGGCTCGCTATGGTTGCAAAGGCCAAAAGAGAATCGTAAGCTCCAGCTCCAGGAGTGCTAGCGCTTACAAGTCTCCGACACAAAATAGCACAGAACTAGTAGCTTTACAGTCGCTTCATGCCCCTGTGCGTCAAGATCGTGCTTGATTCCGTCAATGACAGAACCTTGGAAGGAGCTTATGTAACTGGTGTCTCCGCAGGTTGTTACAGTCGCTGCCTCAACCCTTAAACCCTAAACCCTAAACCCTAAACCTTAAACCCTAAACCCCTAAACCCAAATCCTTCAGCCGTAAACCCCGCAGGGCCTCTCTTCGAGAGCGATGAAGGCGCCAGGTCCTCGGCAAAGGCTCTGGGGCTTTAGGCTTTAGGGTTTAGGGTTTAGGGTTTAGGGTTTAGGGTTTAAGGGTTTAGGGTTTAGGGTTTAGGGTTTAGGGTTGTGTCGGCTTCGAGCTCGGAGCTCTAAGATACTCGTAGGGCAACTAGCCACATACATATGTATGTATGTATGTATGTATATATATATATATAGATATATGTATGTATACGTATATGTATATGTATATGTATATGTATATGTATATGTATATGTATGTATGTATATATTTATATAGGAAGTCATATAATATAAATACAAAAGTTCTATGTTATGACATGATATGCATACCTATCTATACGTACACATACGTAGGAATAAGTTTGGGGGAAATAACTCCACAGCCGCCTGAATTTGCAGTTCCTTGCGAATTTACTGACTTGCGCGAATGCCTTTGTAGCCAAAACCATTACCTCAAACCTTACCGATTGTTTGATAGGCAAATACCTGAGCGTTTGAATCCAGAACCATTTGACCCTTTTTAGCATGGGCTTGGCTTGTGTGCCGGCGAACGTTTGACCTTAAAACCTTTGACGCGAAAGCCTAAACCCCCAATCCCAAAGCCCTAAAGCCTAAACCCCCAATCCCTAAGCTAAGCCCTAAATCCTAAACCCCGAATCCCTAAGCTAAGCCCCAAATCCTAAACCCCCAATCCCGAAACCCTAACCCTAAAAAAAAAACACGAATCCTTAAACCCTAAAAAAAAAAGGAATCCTAAACCCCTAATCCCTAAACCCTAAAAAAACCCGAATCCTTACAGTACCCGGGGCCCCGGCAGCAGGGCCTCTCCTGGTGGAGCAGACTCAGCATCGCCCGAAACATCTGTCGCCTTAGGCAGGGATCGGCTGAAGGGTTTATATAGGGTGTTGGGGTTTCGAGGTTTTTAGGGTTTAGGGTTTAGGGTTTAGTGATTAGTGCTATCCTAGAACCCTGATTAGGGGTTAGAAGGCTAAATCCTGATCTCTAGGAATCAGAAGTTGATGTAGGACTGTAGTCTTACGACAGGGGCTTCGAAACATACTGCTAGATATCGTGTATACATATCTACACACACACACACACACACACATATATATATATATATATGTATAGGTAGGTAGATAGTAACTGTATCGGGAAATTATACCATCTGATACTCATTTTCAGACACCCTAAACCCTAAACCCTAAACCCTAAACCATTTCAAGGCTCTTGGGAGTTTCCGGGACACAAGGCCTTGACACTTGCTGCTTCGAGCATTGCGGTTTAGGGTTTAGGGTTTAGGGTTTAGGGTTTAGCGAGAGTTTTTGAATCTTTCGGGTTTTGCACCTTATACGTTTTAGGGTTTAGGGCCTTACCCAAAGGCTCCATTCTAGTTCCTTTTTTGGGATTATCTTTATTGGATCCTAAATACAAGCGACACGAAGGAGCTATGATGGAGCCTATAAGTATACGGTTCACAGGTTAAGAGCCCCCTCGCCCTAAACCGCGGCTCCAGAAGCCGCGAAGGCCTTTGCCAGAAATAAGAATGCAATAATGATAGTAGAAAAAACAAATAATAACAACATGAATGTAGTAATATAATGATAACAATGATCATAACAACAATAATGGTTCTGGGGTTTCTTGTTTGGGTTGAGGGTCTTCGGGTCCTGCAGTCGTTCCGGACCCGTCGACAACATGTGGAGCTGAACCGAATGAACATCATGCCAATAAACCCGTGATACAATCTGCAAACACAAGTGCCTCAATTCTCAATTCCCTCACAAAAATTTAAAGTGTCCCCACCTAAACCCTAAACCCTAAACCAACCCTAAACCCTAAACCCTAAACCGTGCCCAACTAGGAAGTCGGACTCTCCCCTCTCCTGATTCTCTCTCTCACGCTCGCCGTGTCTGCCTGCTTCTGGCTGGCCACCGCAGAGCGGGCCGCCAGCTGTCCGCAGGCTGCCCCCATGGCGCGACCTCAAAAAAACACAGGTTTAGGGTTTAGGGTTTAGGACCCTTGTAGAAAGAGATCAGGACCCCTTAGCTTGGACGAAAGACATTCCACATCTGGTGCGGTCCGGTTCAGTAGGGGCCAACTGCAACATCTCGAAAATAAAGATAGCGGCCTTAGTCATCAGAGTGGGGCTTCCAGTAGAGGTAGTATAGCGACCCTTGGAAACTTCTGTGGAATAACGCTGGTTATCAGTCCGACCCCTACTATTCGACAGCGGTCCTAGGTTAAGGGATGATGGAGCCTCTAGGTAGACTTGAAGCGCAAACAGTCGCGTGCGATAAAATGCCTACGGTCCCATGTTCGGGCGATGCTTTCTGTGGGCCACCGCGGAGCAACCTTCTTCTCACGTGTCACTTTGGAGCTCGCCGGTGCCGGGGATGGCAACAAGAACAAGCATAAAGTTCGTAGGATTCGTGGGGATGAGATGGCCCTGTGCACGAAGTTCCCTGTATCGCCGCCATAAAATAAGGATCTGAAACCTGTTCGGTAAAGGTTTGAACACCTGTGGGGCTTCGACACCTCGAAAGAAGCTTTCAAGAACAGAGCCATCCGCCCTTGATTTCATCAGCTTCCGAACAGAGTACAGCTTGAAACGGTCCTTGGCAACCAGCACCCAGAACTTCTGCAAACCCCCAGCCTGAGCTGCCTTTGACTCACAACAAGGCCCTGACCCTCCGTTGTGCTCCACCTCGGGGAATGTGTGCCATGCTGCTTGCGTCGAGAAGAGAGACCACAACTATGCCGACCGTCAAGGGTACTCCTGTTTCGCCTACTGCGACGGCGACGGCTCACGCAGCTGCTGGTGTCTACTATCTTTGGCACCTCATTTCATAGTTTAATATTCCTACACCTGATCCGCAACTAATCCGGAGTCCAAAAGCTCTGCATCCTGCATCCGATTGTTGTCATCACCCACCAGCCGCTAGCCCTGTCCCTTGCGGAGGCCGCGCCTGACTGTAGCCCGCAGCCCTTTCGACCGGAGCCTGTGTTTCTCAGGTCTTCAGTTGACACTTTAATGCAGGGGCTCTCTTTATAAAACCATTATGCCCAGAAGACCATCCTTAGTAAGGTTTTACGGACCAAAATTCCATAATGGTAGTAAATCTGGAGCCTCTGGATTAGTTTTTCTGCTTGAGGCTCCCGTGGGAAGAAGGATGAGGTTTTGGGTCCAAAAACATTCCTGAGCAAGCTTCAGATCATCTAATTTAGGGTTCAGGGCTTTAGGGTTTCGGGTTTAAAGTGTTTTTTAGAGTTTAAGGTTACTCAGCCTACTCAGCTCCGTGTTGCCGCTGTTGGGAACCGTGAGGTCACGAAGCCAAAGGAAACATTCTGGGCTCGGGTAGCAGGGCTCTGGCTACGTAGGGCCTCGGCCCCCCCCTCTGAGGGAGCACTTTATGGATCCTTTACAGCAACCCGTCTAGATCTCTTGAAGAACCCTACTCATAGATCCCTTCAAGGAACCCTTAGGGGAGCTTTGCGTGCTTCTTGGGCCGACTCCGGGTAGAATGCCAGAGCGCGCGGGCTCTGCACCACGTTTTTTGCGACCGGCAGTCTGCTTGATTGGAAGGGTCCTTATAGTGAATCCAGATAGTTACGGAAACCAGATGTGGCTTTGCAGTTTGAGACGTTTATGGAGCAAGGCGCTCCGTGACTACACAGAGTCTCAGGGGAGTAGAAGCGGAAGACAAGGGAGTGCCTAGGCCAACTTATGCTGAATCTGATACAGTAGTTGGCTGACCAGTTGGCCAGGGTTCCGCTGGTGACCACCAGACAAAACAAAAACCTTAACATACCCAGCCACTCCAAACCTAAACCCTAATTCACGAACTGACCAAACCTTGGATAGCTGGGGTCCCTGCAGCGCCCGAAATTCTTGCAGCTGCTTGGCTGTCGGCCTCAACCGACGGGGTTTAGTGTCAGAGACGTTGCATTTAAGCGCAAAGCATAGGTCGAAACCAATTACTTCGGCGTTGGTGAATAATAAAGGTTTTGGTAATGGAAGCAACAGCCTAGTGTATCGTCGCGACCCGAAGTTGGGTTTAGAGCCAAATTAGGGGCCTAAGTTGTAGGGATACGTTGAGCTGATGGTTCTGGGCCCGTAACATACGAACCCTTACACGCTTCAACGTATAAAAGAAAGCGGCTGTTGAGGTCTGTTGGTAAGCAAAAAAGCCCTAAAGTTAGCAAACTCGAACCGCCGGGAGTAGGACAGGGCTGTACCAGAAAAAGGATTTCGTGGCTTAGGGCAAGACAACACGCAATGATGCTTTCTCAATGACGGTTGCGAAGGCAGGAAAAGCACATAAAGCCCTGTGTACACGACCCCTCGTATAAAACGACATACCCCCCCCCCCCCCCCCCCC